TATCAAGTGGCTGAAGCAAGTGAGAGCAATGAGGAGGTAATATAAGTAAATCAATATCATTATCTATACAGAAAGCAATAAAGCTACCTGTAATATGGCTTGAATGGCCATCCATGATCAAAAGTCGAGGTCGGTCACCTGACACTTTCTTGGATTCTGGTTCGAAAACCCTTTTTAACCATTCTAATCCATGGCTATTTGAGGTCCATCCATTTGTACTAGTAGAGAACTGCCAGCTTTGAGGTGTGTCCTTTGGAATCCATGCAGAATTCGTATTCTGAGCCTTGAAAATGACCATAGGTGATAGAGCATTTCCAGCTGCATTGACACATTCAAATGCAGTTATCCATTCTTGCTTGCCAGCTGTAACTTTCCAATTCGATTTCTGAGTAGAATCGACTATAATGCGCGTACTTTGAGTACTTCCAACTCCAAATCCGGTTTCATCCATATTATACATATCATCTAATTCATACTTTCGCTCAATGAGACGCGTGCGAAACGCGTCAACCAAGCCTGAATATTCTCCGGAGTTGCTTCTTTAGCCCGATTAGACTCTAATTGACGTGAATAGCATGTTTTAAGTTCTGGATGTCGTTTTTGGAATCTATAGATCCATTCGTGGCCTATAGGTGGAATTTCTGTCGAGGTAGGATTTCGAGATGACGCGACCCGAACGCGTCGAAGACGAATTTCGTCGGCCATTTCCTTCACCAACATAGGTGTAGCAGGGAATCCAGTGATGGTAAGTTGTGAAATCCATTGTACAAGAGTATTTTCTTCTGCGTTTGAAAGAATTTGAGCCATTTCGTGGGTTTGGGAACGTGTTTTCTTCCCAGCCAGCCTATCAGCTAGGGTAGACTTAGGGACTTCAAAATGCTCTGCAGCCTTTCTAATTGATTTAAATTCTTTCAATTGAAGTGAAATTATAGCCTTTTGAAGCTTCTCTTCAATTTGAGCAGATGTAGAAGGTGATTGGGTATGCATAATAAAAGTTATTGCGGTTTCAAGTTGGTGATGGGCTAAAAGTGTCCGAGTTCCCCATATGTCCGAGTTCCCCATACGTTACGTTATTTAAAAACATTTTTTTTATTAAATCCTTTAATATATTTATAGAAATCCTGTACTTTTTACTCTATTATAATAATCCTTTTCTTTTTATTCAACTTTTTCTAAAATATTATAAAAGTTGTAGTTAGTTATAATATTGTATTTCTTTCGGAGGGTTATCTTCGCCCTCTAATACTTCAAATCCTCCGGGAATCTTGTTATAATTCTTAACCTATTATTTATAAGCCTTATATCCATCTTCTCTTATAGTATATTGATAGTATATAATTTCTTTTTAAAGCCTAATATCTTCTATTTTCTTTCCTCCTCCTGGATTATCCTATTGATATAGAATACAATATATTAGGGCCTGTCGAACCATTTTATCAATACAGAGGACAAGACTATATTATAGGATTAGATAATTAAATAAGATTGAAATAGTAGGTGTAATAATATTGAGATGTTATTGCTTTAATAATATACATTCTATATTAAAAGATTATTATTTTTTTAATTATAATTGATAATATATTATCTACTATATAAAATGGTATTAAAATTAATATTTCATAATAATATTATATATTAATATAAAGTGTTATATATTTAAATTTATATATTATAAATGTTTTTCAAAAGATCTAGCTTTTCTTTTTACTATATAAAGTAATTATAAATATATTAATAGAATATCAAATACTATATTAATATATTTTTTATAAAATATTTCTTGAAAAAAGTAAAACCTTTTGAAGAGATTTCATTTTTTATTTTCCTATACTTAAAAACCTTCTTTTTTTATAGTTAAAATCCCTTTATAAAACCTTCAAGTATTAAAAAAGCCTGGATTATTATAGGAATTTATAATTTAATCTTTTTCATTAATTATATTTAATATAATAAGCCTATTGTTGATAATATTGATATTAATAGTTCTGATATAAATATAATAAATTCTTTTTCCTAATATCAATAATAATATCTTCTTAATCTGGATAGATATTAATTCGACGATTTTGAGAAAGAGTAGAGAATGATATTCTAATTTGAATGTAATAAAGATTAATAGGTTTTTCTAAGAAAATCTTTCCTTAGTTTTTTCGTGTTTTTAATATATATATAAAATCAAATTTAAATACGAATTTGAATTTATTTTGAAAATCTTTATATTATATATATTATATTATTAATAATTATTAATAGCTTTATAGTATTATATTCGTAAATTATTTTGTTTATTTGAAATATAAAAGATAGATATAATTTTTATAGTTTTATATAACAGTTTAATATAAGATTTCTTTAAAAGAAAAGAAAGAAGAGAGATTAAAAAATAGGTAAAATTTAGAAACTTTTTATTTATTAAATAATTATTGTTTCAGGCTATATAAGTTTTTAATTAATTCTTAAAATTTAAGAGATTCATTAAGACTTTATTGATTAGAATAAGTTTTGTTATATATGATAAAAAGTTTAATTAAATTAATAGGATAGAAATAATTTATTTCATATAGTATTAATATATTGAATATTCCTTTGTAATAATGAAGTGGATGCTTTGTTAGGTATGGAATCTACTACTATAGGGAATCTAGATCTAACTACTAGTGCGAAAGCTTGCTAGCTATTCGAGTAGAATATTATCCTTGTTTAGATGATTATCGTATAGAATGTAAATCTCTAGTGAGGAGAGTCTGTATTCAAAGTCTATAGGATAGATCTTGTTTGAGTATGTACTGGAAGATTAACTTTCTTTGCATTCTTTTCTATTCCAATAGAAGTATGGTGGATGGATCGGTGATGGATCGGTGATATGATTACAGTTTTCATGGTGGGAATGGGAAATGGAAAATATGAAATGCGGAATATGAATCTTATAGTCTAGTGTGAGGATGCGTTTATAGTTTCTGTTGGTAGAGATTTGAGGATAGATTGGAAGGAAGGTAGGTATATAGAGCAGATTTGAGGATGTTGAAAAAGGAGTTCTTCTTGGGAGAACTGTTTATGGTTGATCAGATCCATGATATAATCTAAAGAGAGGATGTTACATTCTGAGTAATTCCTGGGTTTTATTCGAGTGTTAATTATACACTACTTGAAGGATGTCTTGAAACGGAAGCTTTTTAATCCGATGGATTCAAAGTTGTCGCCAAGTTGATTCAGCGGTATCTGAATTAGAAGGCGTAGGTCTGAGAAGTGATGCTAATGTTCTGATCTAGTGGATTAATGGTAGATAATTCTTATCCTCTGAATTTTGTAAAGTTTAATCAATTACTCTTATATCTCAGAAATCGAAGCTATTTTACTTTCAAGACTTGTATTGTAGACTCTGTTCTATTGACCTTAGAAGCTATCTTAAAAGTAAGGATTCAGTCTATATAGAATCAGAAAATCTATATATTTATTACAGAATCTAGCCTCTCTCTTGTAATAGAGTAAGATCTGTGTTAGATCCAAGGGGTATAAGAGTGAAACAGATAGTATTTTTAGTGGATGAGGGGAATTTATTACAGATTCAAATTCATAAGTCTTAATATAACTACATAGATTTCGAAACAAAAACATAAAGATTCTAGTACTTTGATGTACCTAGTATACTGGACGGTGTTATGACTATGGTTGATACTACGACTATATGATATGAATATTATGTGTAATGAAAAATAATATATTCAGCGATATGTCTAATGGGAGTACTTCTAAATAGATATCACTGGGTCGCTATCGTCGCTCTTGTTATGATGAAGTGATAATATGTAGTAAATGTTATTATGTATCTAGTTATTATTCTCGGTTATTTGCTGGCATGGTCGACGCTGTCAATGTCTTTGCTTATACATCTTAGGGTTATCCCCTCAGTGTAATCATCGCTATACTATCCCAAGTCAGAGAGTTGTTTCAAAAGTAGAGTGAAAGCTCTGCGAAATCTTCTGGTCGGGTACGCTAAAAAGAGCAATTTGATAATTCATCTTGTCGGCTTCTTGGAATACAAAGCGCATTCGGAAATTTATGGTGTGCACCAGAATAAAAGCTGGGATTTCGAACTTACTGGCCTCGATACACAGGTAAAATGTAGCATATTAGGCAAATAGCGGCCTATACACGAAAGCCTATCATTCGATTGGCCAATAATTGAAACAACGACTGGCGCTTAGATCTTTTGATGCGTACCAAAAACTGACCTTGTTAGTAGTATTGCTGGCCAGGCCAGACCCTACAGGTAAACTAGATTTCTTTAGGTAGGGCGCACGAAGGCCAACAATCAATGGCCGGAGAATGTTTTCGAATCATGATGACACCGAATTATATGACATTGATCCAAGGTTGGTGTAGAAGACCGTATAAGGTACGCGTAAACGTTTGAGAACAAAAAATGATACAAGGCAATCATACCGGTCGTCAAGTGTCGTTTTCGCAAGCTTGTGTTTCCAACAAGGACAATAAATCAGGGGTTCTAGTAATTTGGACTACAGTCTATATTGAAAAGATTACATTGGAACTTAAGGGTCTCGATATTTTAAGCGACTTTGGATATTCGGCATGCTTTATTGTTGAATATGTCTATACTCTTGAAGATCCTGCTAATCATAGCATCAATTCCCGAGGTCACCGGTATCAGGCGACATGTACACCACCAGGCTGTGGGGTCGATAGAGACCGATTTCAAAGCATTCGCCACGAGGGTTTTATTCTGAATTTTCACTGTCCATTTACTTGGTCTCCTCACATGGATATGCCTTGAGTTTCAAAAAATTGATACCCTGTAGCTCAAGGCAGTCACTTGGTTTGTTGGTTCGTGGTATAAATATTGTGATGAGAGATACTAAGATGGAGTGTATATCTCACATTCCAATCCACTTCGCTAGATAGAAAGACACTTCATCTCTACTGTCTAAGAACTGTTATTCCATACCAAACATCGACTATTATACATCCATACAATCACAATGTCAACCCCTCATGGTTTTCTGCAATTAACGATCTTAGAAAGTTCCAGCAATTACTTTATTTACTTTCCTGTCGAAAAAGACAAGGGCAAAGACATAAGACGACTCATAGCATTCAAAGAGTCGGAGGTTAAACTTGGAATAGCTGATCATGTTACACCGGAACCTGGCGAGAGATTCAAATGTTTGATCAAAGTCGGTACCAAATCCGAGCATTTAATGCATGAAAGGGAAAATTACAGAAAATACTTTTTTGAAAGACACCAAGTAAGTATCAGCTAGAATTTAGAAAGGATCACGGTACACTTGCATACTAATGTTTTGGTATACAGCCTAAGAACAAAATGAATCATATGATGAATGTCTGGGCGTCGAAAGGCTGGGTTTTTGATATTAAAGGCAAACCTCTGCCATCTTCTCTCTCAGGTCCGCCTGAACAATCAAAGGAAAAACGTCTACCATCTTCTCTTCCAGCTCCATCTAATCAGTCAGGGACCAATACGGACGCGCCGAAAAACCCTAAAGAGAAGAAAAAGCTTTTTGGCAATACTTTCCCATCAAAAGAAGAAATAGCCCAGTGGAAGGCGTCGAATAAAGCTAGCGATAGTAAGCCCGCCTCTGACCCTCTTCCAAATTCGTCCAACCCGACGATCACCGATGGCAAAAGTAAGCTAAATTTTAAGATACCTTCCGAGGAGGAGTCACTATTCGTCTCTGAAGGCGAAGATACGGATTGGAAGTCTGCAGCAGGTGACAGGGCGAAAAAGGCGAGGGAAGAAAGAGATAGAGCAGCGCAGGGGAAAAAGCCAATCAGGAATCCTCCAACGGAGAAATCGTTTTCGTCGGACGAAGATAATGATTCCCCACCTTTCAAACCGCGCTCTAGACCAAGCACCACAAGGACAGGCAAAACTCGAGAACCTACTAAGCCTACCAAGAAGATGACGACGAATACTAATCCAGTGGGCGACAATTCCAATGCAGGCGAGGGAGGCAGAACCGCAAAGGCGCATGAACGTCGTCGCAGTAGGAGTCCTGATAGAAGCCTCAAAAAGCCCGCAGTTCTGCATCAAAGGGGAGAGAGTACCCATGCTTCCTCTCATACAAAGAAAGGAGTAGCAGTAAAAATAGGAAGCAGTAGCCACAACAAAAGCGTAGGTAAAAGTGAATCAGGGAGAGAAACTAGGGTTAAGAAGATGAAGGATCCAAACCCACCACCAACACTAATGCAAATAGCTGATATGGACTTGGACGATGCCGAAAACGAGTGGGCAAAGAAACATAGGACGCCATTTTAGTTGAATCGGGCTTAGACTAGAAACGAACAGAGGGGGAAAAAATCCACGGCCATGGTGAGAAAATAGATGGGAGAACATATTTATATAAAGCAGATCAACGAGCACCAGAGTCACTCATATACCATACCCACATTGTACTACATTCTACGTGCTATTCCTTGATATATCCGAATTCTTCTAGCTTTGTAGCGTGTACCAAATACTTCATTTTGCCTTGCGTAGGCTTACTATCTCAGCAGGCGAAAAAGTAATCTTAAGAGCTATGACTGTATTCTCTACTAATGCAGAATAATTAGTAACCGTTGCAAAATAAAATAAATATGTGCTGGGGAGCTTTTTTGATGGCAAAGCGAACGATACGATCTCTAATTGAGGATAATTGAGAAAGAGCATCCGTTGATTCAATTATGAATTGTCTGAAAAATCTAGAGCCAAGAGTCGGCACTTGCAGAAGAGAGATTTATCCAAAAGAATGTAATCATATACCACAACATCGGAACTACAAATTCGAAATCCGGCATGCATCCGAGACCCAGAGATCTCCTCTCGGTTAACGAGCAGGTAGCCTCTACTGAAGCACGCACATTCAAAGCCAAAAGCCCTTCAATTGTTGAATATGCTAATTACATATAAGTCAGATACGAGTAGGGAAACACATCACATCTGAAATTTCAGTTCGCAATATATGATCATGCAGTACCAGTCCAGTGATTCAAAATAAAACATTGGGCTCGGTAAACGATGAGACATCAGGAAATGAAGTCTTCGAGACACCAAGTCCGAAATTTCGAGGGAAATATGTCCAGGAATGGGTTTAATTTGGAAATTTAGGATAGACGGGAGTATGTTGTAACTACTGAGCTATTTTTTAGGTCTGGTATATAATGCGAGGAAAATGTATTAGAATGTGGTATCAATAGTGACTTATAGATATTCACAAGGCGTACAGAATTTGAGAGCAAAAATGGGCCGGAGTACTACCCAGAGGGGTGATTTCGGTGGTTCTCACACTGCCGATATGGGGAAACCAAGCTTCTGGTGAATATGAATGCGGATTTTCTCCAGCTCTTCATCTGTGGGCTTAGTCTTTGTGAATGGAGCATCAAGCGCAAAGAAAGAAACGTTCTTTCCATCCACCAGTATTGACTAAATCCCTCTAAACACAGCCCCGGATCCAATCCCCCCAGTACAAGGAACGAGTTTCGATTCTCGAGTCTGAAGCCAAAATCACACAGTACAAAAGCAAAGAGGTCTTTTTCACAGAACAAGAATCCTCTGAGTGATATCGCCAAGCATACCGCAAATAACTCGAAAGCTTCGAGACTCGCGAGTTTTTCCATCGGACCAGCCAGCGTGGGAAAATCCAGCTGCTTGCAGATTGTGTTTTTGAGTCTAAGGACTTTGCATTGCGTGGCGATGGATATTATCAAATATTCACCATTCGTCTAGTAGGCCCCATGCTAAATCTAACCAAACTAATTTCTGGACTCCTTTAAGTAACACCACGCAACCAATATTAGGACACAACAGCTAATGGATAATGCTTAGACTATACATTAGGTTCTGTCGCATGTACGCAATTGGTTGACGCTACAATATGATAGCGTCCCTGTAGCTCCTCTGGAGGAGTCTCCTCGATGTTGAGTTTCATAAACTTCATATCTTCAATATCCCTAAAAAATTGTTTTCATACCGCGCACGACTAAGTATTTCGAGAGATCCATAAAATTGTATATAAAAGAGACTCCACCAGCTTGAAGGAAAGATATAAGATACTTAATAGTACCCCGTACCAGCACCCACTTCAAAAATCTATAGGGACTCAACTTATTCTATAGAAATTCGAGCGCGAATAACTGCCGAAAAAAAATCCCAAAGTACTGTCACAGCAGCTGTGCATCTGACGTGGTGAAATTAAAGTCATTAACGAGGCTCCGGCCTTTACCGTCACCGTTTAAGATAGAGAGAGATGGGGTTAACTTTCCCGACGTGTGAGACAACCTACCCATCGAAGACCAACAAATTCTACCAAGTTTTTCAAGCTTCATTGATAAATAACCAGCAAATTCCGCAACAATCTTGTCACTCAACTTTCCAGCCCACATAGCTCTAGTATCATAATCTCTAACCGTGGGACCACATGCAAACTCCTCTCCTATTTCTCGACAAAACCTACTTCTTCAAGATTTCCCCGACTCTTAGGATTTCTTCTCGATACTTATCAAGCGTGAGTTTTCCAGCGGGAACTTTCTCCCTGGTGGAACTGTCTGATGGGAGTAGCAAAGTTCCTTAAAATCTTCGATGATGAAGGCTCTCACAGTCTTTAGCTGCTCCGAATGTACCTAGATTTTATCCTAATAGCTTGGATAACCACTAGTTTTAACATCCCTATCAAAGCTGTGTCGAATCGTTTCCAAAGCCGCATGTACCAAAGCAGCATTATACTTGATCAAGCCTTTCTTTCCCTGCTTATTTTCAATCAAGTATATTTCCATATATGAAGCCGCTGAACTACCACTACTTGAATCTGGACTTCCTCGAGAAGATATTAACGGAGTAGTCATTGAGACTACACTGAATCAACATCCGATGCACCGGGAACTGAGTTAAATTAAAGATAGATACCACATCGACTATTGAAGCAAATTCTGTAATTTATATATTGACACCGAATGCATTAATCAACATACCAATAATCTCTATTGGACAAGAGAGTCAGCGTCCGCGTCATCAACATTCGAATCCCTCTCAATTCCGCAACCCGCACATCGAGAGACTGACTCCAAATCTCAAAATCAATCTCATGATTCCCATCCAAATTTCTATCAAACACAGTCTCAAGAATGAAGACCGATCCTCACTTTTCAACACGGTTCTTGCAATAATCAATCATATCCCTATCAATCAACTCATGGAGAGCTCACATCACATCACATCACATCATACAAAGAAGCAACACCAATCAATCATCCATTTACAATCCTCTGTTGAAAAACCACATCTAAACAAATCTGCTATTTCAACCCAGATTTCTTCGTTCACCAGCGCATCGACACCAAGCACATCTAGAGACTAGCGTGACCTATTTCGTGATCCTCAAACTGGAACGTCTAGACTGGTCGATTACTCGCGGCTTCACAGATTTCATGCTCAGCCTTCGTGGCATATTGTATAAACATAGCGAATGACTTCAATTCATTAGCTAATAAACTATAGCCCTAAGCGAATACGCAAGAGACTAGCTCTTTCTAGCAGACCTTGTATAAGGTCTACTATTCCCTGTACATGGGTAGCCCTTTGGATAGCATACAATATTCGCATTTAGGACCTACAGATCGTAGGTGCCACGTCATTCGTATCCTTCTCAAACCAACACATATGGACTGTGAATATCAATAGTGTCAAGTATTGAGAAGGGAACTATTCCATAGGATCTCTAAAAACTACAACTAAAGTTTCACAGCCCTCATCAACAAACTGTCCGGCTGCCCATTACCAACAAGGAAAACCAATCTTCCAAGCTAATCGACTCCTCACTCCAAAACACGGGAGATCCACACGACTCAGTGAATTAAGTTGCCAGCGTTCATAACCGCTCGTTCCTCTGGATTCAGCATCTCAGTAACAAAGATACCCTACTACCAACAATTCCCAAGTTCCAGAACATGAATAAAACAAGTAAAACATTACAGATGTCAGAAGATTATCATTCTCATATTCCCAAGAACTCATCTAATCTCTCATACTCAATATCTCACCCCATATATTCACACGATGATTTCGAGACCGCACCCACTGCTTCCTAGAATCTCATCTATCGTGGGTGGCCCAGCTGCCAAGCTATTAAAATCTGATCTGAACCTCTAACCGCTAGTTTGTAGATGCACTTGCTTCTTCAACCAGTAAGGCTAGCGGCTTTTCAGCTTCTTTCTAGTCTGACAATCTAACAATACTCCTGCTGTATATCACCTCTCAGTTGCAGCTAGCCTTCCGTGAAGTACTTTTTAAGGCACTAGCCATGAATTCAGCTAATTTGAAAACACACCCACAACCGCTAGTATCTCGTAGCCGATGTACGAACAGTCAATCGCCCTATCTCACAAATCCAATCAACAAATCATCAAACTAATCAATCCATACAAGAAATAATCCTTGTGTTCATTCATATATTCCTATTCATCTCGGGAATCACCCCTATGCATGTCATCTCATCTAACTCATGTCATCTCATCTCAATCCTAGCCTACTAAAAAGATAATCTGACTTCCCAACCACAGATATATCAATACCAATCATATCAATATCCACCTCCGCATTTACCCTTTCCCCAGATATCCCCATAAACTCCTCGCAAAAATGCAAACAGACATGTTTAGTTTCCATAAAACAGTAGACCTTTGAACCAACAGATCCCCTCATGGTCTACACGATCCTTTATGTACTCCGAAGAAAATGCAATTAATTCCGTTACCTATCCATTCTATCCATGAGAGTATTCATTCATTAATACATTCATGAATCTATTTATCCATCCTACCAGGTCAATTTCTTCCCAGTTCAAGAACCCCTCATCCCATCTGCTTTCAGACCTTACAATCAAAATGATATTATGACCATTTGATATCACCACTAGGCGGTCTCGTCGTTCTCCTTCTATTCAACTTATGCTCTGACCCACTAACCGCATTCGAAGACGTAGGTCTGATCGGCTCTCGTTCACGTTCTCTTTCTCGTGGCCTAACTCCATTCTCCCTATTTTCCCTTCTAAGATGTGATGGGTCATCCCTAAGCTGCGGTGCCGCTATTGATGATCTTGATGCACGAAGGAGTGCTGTTCGAGGTAATCGGCTTTTGTTAACCGGTGTCCCATTTGTTAAGTCACCGCTCGCTTTTCGCATAATGGATGTTGTGCCCTCTGTAGTTCTAGGCCGATAATGCACAGATTCGGTACTACTAGACGCCGTCGATGTGATACCCGAGCGCCTATAAGGTGTAACACT